TATCGTTGCATTTAAAAAAGGACCCAGTGACCGGAAAAAATCGACGATCTTAACTGATATGATAATTTCATTTTTGTCGAAGTTGATGCTCTGCTATGATCAACAATTTATAACTAATTATAGAAACTTTGTATACATTGCATTTATCGAGAGTTGACCAGTAAATAGTTTGCGTAATCTCTCAAAACTTGTACCAACCAATATGGCAACTTATTGGAACGAAAATCTACTTACCGCTACGCTATTCCGAGTAGCACAACCTCGAAAGGTGTGAGAGTTTCCTATTTTGCTTCAAAGGCAAGATTGTGTTACTGATTGTCGAAAATAGTCATGTCTAGTGCCACGGAGGTTTCCACTTCTCTTAATAGTCAGGTGCGGGATGTCGATTGGTACCGTCAGCTTTGGTGGAAAACTGGTAACATACATCCCAAAGCCAAATGGGAAAAAGCAACGTAAATATCCTATTTGCTTCAACGATTGGATATTTTATAAACTAATAGCTGATATCTACTGTTATTTATCGTCAAGTTTACCATACGAACTCAAGACTGGAGTGTCGCTTGATGAATATGCTTTTAAAACAGATAAATATAATGTGAAGGGCTTTTGGGAATGGGAAAATGGAACCGTTCGTGTTATCGAACTTCCTTCAAGATTTCACGAGATTTGTGTCACTGAGATAATTAGGTCATTGGGCGTAACATTTAATCCTGTAAGAACTACCAATTCCGATCTTATTTTCCATGGAGCGACGAGTAAGTGTTTTGTTGGTTTTATGCTCTGTATTATAGGTATGTTTCTATTACTCACCATCTTTGACTAATAGCAACAAAAACATCACAAAAAGGCTGTGAACCGGATGGGTCAATTCTACCTGTAGGAAAACCTCAAGTGCCTTGTGATGGATCTGATGGAGGGGTATGAAGAGTTTATCTCATTCACTTTCTAATGTGATTATGTTGAGAATGATTATAATGTTGGTGATGAAATGTACTCTTAGAATCGACCCTGGCCCAATCTTGTAATAGAGGTCGCTTATTCCTTAACAGAGGCGGAACTTAAGAGGAAGATAGAAACATACTGGCTTGCTCCTAATAGAGCCCATGATGCAATTGGCATTAAATTCAACTATATACCGGGCATGCAACCAACGGAGATGACGGTAAGTAATCGCAAGAAGATTAATTTCTGGAATTTGCCATTGGCATCATGTAAATGACATTTGTTCTTTAACAGGCTTGGCATTATTGTATAAATAATCGAACAGCCGTTGGTGCACTCGCTCCCATCATGGTGCGTTATAATATTACATGCTTTTTTACCACAGAATTGAACGAATTTAATATATTCTTCATTCAGTATGAATTCGGCACGGTCGACCGTCAAGGAAATCCCCTCAACATTGTACCGGGGCAATGCGTGATCAATATCCCATTGAGATGCCTTTATGATGGGATGCCATCTACCTTCGTGATTCCCTCACCCCCTCTACCTGACCCTATTCCCCTTGATCTTTTTCATGTTCGATGGGCTGTTTTAAATCATTAATTTGAGGCTATACTGTATGACTCCTATTCTCTTATCCTGTGGTCCTATTTTTTTCCACCATCTAATAGTTCTTGGAAAGTCATTTCTCACCTTGTCACATTTTTACATAAACATACAGAATTTTCAATAAAATGAACAAGACTATTCTCATACAGTTTCACTAAATCCAAACATTTTATTATATTAACCAGACTCAAAAATTAAATGATAGATTTTAATGACCTTTTAATCGTTATTTATCAATCCTAAAAGAGCTTGGGATTCTTCGCGTGATTCTAGCCTTTAAATTGATGCCACGTGATGGATGATGATTTTTATTTTTTCCGAGTTCGTGTTGCACAGCCTGATATGTCTTATGGCTAAATCGACGCGTTATTTTTAGTCATCTGTAAATTTGGCACTTCATAAGAATTCATTTTTTTTTTAAGGTGAAGTGCGGTGCCTGCAAGGTTTTTATTGATAAATGCCTTATACCAATTACAGTTGCAGATCAAGGACTCGTACAAGCCAGTACATTATGTACTCTATGCAGATTATCCTCCACACCCACCTTACATCCAGGTGCCCAGGAACCTATCGTCATTAATGATTTCCTACGTGACACTGGGGTGGGACCTATAGGGTGTAGAAATCCTACCACTAGTTTAAACTACCTAACCTATCGATCCAACTTTGCCTAGAGAAATCTCTTCATAAGAATTCATTATAGTTCAAGGATTTTTAATAAATTACTGTATCTTATATTTTTTATACAAATAAAGTTTGTAACAATAATTTATTATAAAAGGGATGCTTTCACTCTTCCAATAAAGTAATTCATAGAATTATATTATTTATACCAAAAATCTTTAATAAAATATTTTATTATTATTATTTTAAGTAAATAAACATCATCACTTTATTAATTTGTAAAAAATGTAAACATTTTATACATGAAGAAAGTGACAACATCTTTATATGACCCAATGGTCAGTGAGTTTAATGCTAGGTTGCTTATTGAAAATTATCTAAATGATAAAGAAAAATAAATATTAAAACTAATATATACTGTATATCAAAGATAGTACCGAGCAACTATAAATATCTACTTAGAGTTATATGTAAAAATATATAAGAAAATAAAAGAAAAACAAATTAAAACAAAATTCAATAGACTATAAATCTATGAAAAGAAAATTATATTTTTAAAAAAACTTAGAATCAAGCTTGTTATCTATTCTTATAGATTCCTTGTTACTTGTAAATATAATTTTTATTAATATGAATAATAAAATATAGTTTATTTTGTTTATTGTTATAGTTGTTGTTATTATTGTTATATTGATATAAATTATGATTAATTTGATTGGTTTATTTGTTAGGAATATAATATTGTTTAATATTGTTTGACAATAATAATATTATAATTGATATGTTGTTATTATTGTTTTGTTAATTGATATATTATTATGGATTTTTTTTTTGATATTGTTTATATTAATTTTTAAAGAATATAATCATGCTTTAATTGATTAAGAAATTTAATTAATTGAGTTTGAAATAATAATCAGTTAACAGAAATAAATTAATTATGATTTTTTGATAAAAAATTTATTGTATGAAAATTTTTGAATTTTAATAATGCAATAAAATATAACATTTGTCAAAAAAATTATTTGACAATAAAAATATTCAACAATACAATTATTTGGCAATAAAATCATTCAGCAATAAAATTATTTGACAAAAAAATAATTTGGCAAAAAAATATTTCTAGTTAAAAAATATTCAGCAATAAAGTTACAATATTCTGTAATAAAAATTATAGTATTCGAAATAAAGTTTTATTATTTAATTATAAAGTTGACAAAGTCATTAATATTATATACTTCAATAAAATTAAATTGTATATTTTCAATAAAAAATATATATTTATAATAATATTCAACAAAATTTAATTAATACTTAATAAATTTATTAAAAATATAAAATATATAAAATTTGAAATAATTATTTGTTAGTTATTCATTAATTTTTTTTTGCCTCTAATCAGACTGCAAGAGTTGTGTTTATTTATCCAATTTTGAAAAACAGTAATACAATATATATAATACTATACTAAAGCTAAACTATCACATAATTTGCAAAATACCTGTTAATGAATTTAGATTTGTATGTGATCCTTGAATCCTTAATACCAAGACCACTGTGTTGCTCACATGATTTAACTATTTACTAACTATTTCACTACAAGGGAGTAGGTTCATTAAGCTATTAATGCATGGTATTAACTATCTTAAACTTTCTAAATCTAAACTCTCGATCATTGGGAATAAAGAAGTTGCTTTCTTTCAAGACTAGACATCAAAGACTATGCTTTGAAAAATCTTGGCTAGCCTACATTCAGACTGTTACTCCGAATGACCTTGTGATCCTAAGAGGTAAAAAATTTTTATTTTTTAAGAAAAAAAGAGCAAATAAGAAAGGGTAGTTGAAGAGTTTGTTCTGGTAAATAAAAAACCCTCCAATGTTAACTTCAGTTTATCAGGATAAATCCTTTACTACCACCTGCAGCTGGGCGAACTATTTAATTTTTGCTATTCCATTATTAATCAAGAACATTTAAGGGTACTTCCAGAAAAGTATTTCTTGAAACTTTATGCTTGAAGACTTCTAACCTTGGGGAGGATTGGTGTTTTAATTGACAATTTCTCTTTCTGCCAAATCTTCAAGGATTTATAGCTTCATTCAACTAGTGAATAGTTTCAAGACTCCTTTCTCCAACCATTTTCAGGATAATCAACAATAGAGGAAGCTTGTTACTGGATTGGAATAAGACTTCTTTTAATCTTGAAGAAAAAAGAAACCAGTTCAAGAGGAGAGGGGAATATCATAACATATCTTAACAAAATAAACATCTTATTATCTTACTCTTTTCACTGTGTCCAATAGCATTATTGGGTTTATTGTTGTACAAGATGAGACACGTGGAAATTACATGTCTTGTTTACATTTTTTGTTATATGCAGATTAACTAGTTCAAATTTCTAGCCAATCATCATTCAGGAGTTCTGGTGTAACCAAAAATTCAGGGTCAAACTGAGATAGGCAAAATTCCTCAGAAAAATCAGAAAAAAGTATACATACTTAAAAGGATAAAAGAGAGACTTGAGAAAAAAGAGAGAAGAGTTTCAAAGCCTATGTCAATCTTTTCTGGAGTCTTGAATCTCTGGAAGAAAAAAGAAGTGTATTTTTTCTACAAGTTCTTTTTCCTAACAAAATGTTCTTGCCTTTGATTTTGTAGATAGGTTTTTCTTATATTTACTTGCTAAAATACAAGAAGTTTATATCAAAAAAAGAAAGAAACAAGAGGGGAGAGGCTATAGCCTCTAAATATTAATATTGTTAAAAAAAGTGTATAGACTATATTACAAAGAAATATAAAATTTTTTTGGAACATCTGTTTTTTGTGTTAGCAAGAGAATCAGTAGAAAGATTTGTATTAGTTATTCATTAATTATTTGTTTCATTTTCATTAATTATTCATTAATTAATTCTTTAGTAATTGCTTGCTTATTATTTACTAATTCTTCACTTATTATTTATTAAATTCCTCCTCTATTTCTTTATTCAAATCTTTCTGCTCATAATTGTTCTTTTCTTTTACTGATTTCATCATGACTCTTGTAACTCTTGAAGATTTTATAATACTGAATTTTTTTTACTTTGGGTTACTTTTTTATAGTTTTTGTGGTTTTTGTGCTTATTGTACTTCTTGTGATTTTTCTTTAATTTTCTCTTTTAATATTGCCTTCTGAATTTTATCTACTTGTGTACTTTCTTTAATTTAATGTTCATTCTCTTTTGAACACATAAGTAATTTTTCATAATCAGATATTATTTATATTTTAAGTTTTTTTTACTAATTG